GCCCCTCGAAAGGAAGTACCTCAGCACATCCATCATCAAGACCGAGGTGCACCCATGCATCTCGGACATATCACCCCCACAATCCCCAGGTCCCCCTTAATGGATCATAGCACATGTAAACAACCCATTAGTGGCTCATTATTGTAATTGGGTCTCACAGGCCCAAGACCTGTGTGAGCCCAATCTGTATTCCCTCTATAATTACCCCCCTTGAGAATAATTGTAGGGGGGTCACAAATCATTTATTGCAAGTTTTCTCTCTATATCATAGCTCTCCCTTCTCTCTAAGCATTTCGGTCTCACCCGGGAAGCTATCACTTACGTTCAATTTTTAAACTTAACTTACTATGTAGTAAGTAATAGTCATATTAATGTAAATAAGTTTTATTTTAATAATATTTTTTAAAAAACCCCCATTTATATTAGGACAAAAATGTGATCAAAATGGACATATATTTGGAAAAAAGGATGTCACCATGCCACTGTCAAATGTCACAACTAGATTTATTGTCAGTAACTTATGTCACTGCCTCTGCCGTCGGTGTCACTGTGCCGCCATCGGTGTCACTATGCCACAACCCCAGCATAGCTCTCACCTCCCTAACCACCGTAATATGCCCCAACTAGAAAATAAGCTACACCACCAAAGCCAAGCTATCTGGGAAGTGTACCAAAACCCATTTTCCCATCAAATCAACTACGACATTTTCTCTCTTTCTCCTTGCATCTTGTTGGATGGTAACTGTCCTATTCTGTCGCAATCCCCCAACATCTTGCAAACCCAACCTCACCGGTGGGCGTAGCTCAACTGGTAGGAAGGGAGTGTCACAAGGGTTAGGTCCCGGGTTCGAATCCCGACAACTGCGATGAGGGGTTACTATGCTAAAAAATGCATAGGGCCTCTGCAAGTACCGGGGACAGAGCCCCACTCTCTATCTGTCAGATTGGGATTATAGTCCAACTTACATCCTCCCAACGTACTGTCCGGTCGGGGTTGGGGGGCCCTCAGGGATGGGGTGTCATCCTTTTTTTTTTGCAAACCCAACCTCTTAATCCCAAATTTTCATTTTTAAAAACAAATCTAGTTTTGAAAAATCTAATTTCAAGAATCTAGTTCTGGACTATTGGAGCGGCGGACAGCCGTAATGGACGGAAACAAATCTAATGTCTTTTTCTCTCATTCTCCACCGCTGCGATAATGGTTTAACCTCTAGGGATCTCATCATCCTTCTACGCTGAAGCACATGACAGGCAGTGGAGGAAAAGGCAGTTGCAGAGCTGACAGCGGGGTGAAGCAGAGGACATGCGGTGGATGGTTTGATTGCAGATGATATGGCGAACAAATTTTCTGGCATACGGCGAAGAATTTTTCTAGCATTTCTTTCTCGCACGTTAGACGGTCCGCGAACAAAGTAGTTCATTCTATTGCTAAAGCTGCTTATTCTATGTCCGATTCGCAATCTTGGTTTTTTGATGCCCTGTTCTTTATTACTTCTGATTTGAACTTTGATTTAATTAAGGGAAAATGGAAACTAATAATCCAACCTTTTAGCGTTCTTCTTACAATAGTCCCACCTTTTGATTATCCATGAATAATCCAACCTTTGCAACTCATCTTCATTCACTGGTCCTTGACCGATTTATGACATGTTATTCCAAGTTATTTTCTTATCTTTGTAAAACAATATACCATAATTCCCACCTTATGATCCCATAATGTTTTGCAAAGATAAGAAAATAACTTGGAATAACATGTCATAAATCGGTCAGGGACTAGTGAATGAAGATAGAGTGCAAAGTTTGGATTATTCATGAATAATGAAAAGATGGGACTATTGTAAGAAAACCGCTAAAAGGTTGGATTATTAGTTTACATTTTCCCTTTAATTAATGAAAGTTAGCCTTTTCGTGCAAAAAAGAGTCATATTTTTGTCTTTTGAAAGTGTATGAGTAATATATATGCCATTCTTTCTAAACTTTAATATACTTCGTGGTATGTAGTAAAATTCAAGGAAAACCCCATAAAAAATATTATTATTAGTGAATAAAATTAAAAAGGGATAATTTGAGTTTGCATCCTATTTTATTGTCCAAATTCGATTTTGCACACCGTTTTCAAAAAATTTTGTATTTGCACCCCAACCCCACATGTGAAGACAAAAATGCCCCTCGACCAGGAATATGTTGAAGCCCAACATAATTGTTAATGGAGGGGCATTTTTGTCTTTTCATAGGGGTTGATGTGTAAATACAATTTTTTTTAAAAATGTGGTGTAAAGTCCAATTTAGACAGAAAAATGGAGTGCATACTCAATCTCCCCAATTAAAAATGTATCCCCACTCTGCCGCTTATAAATTTACCAAAATTGTGTGATTGTGGAGATAAGTGAAAAATAATAGAAACACCAATTCATTGGGTAAAGGAAAAGATGTAATTTTTTTTTGAAGTAACGAGATGATAAAATTATAAAGAACTGAAGGAGTTATAAAAACGATTTTTTCCCTAAAATAATGCTTAATAAAAACATTTACGAAATTAGGAATGAATTATTAATATTTCTCAAACTAATGCTGGGGCTGATCAGGCTTTTATGCAAAGGAAGGAATACCGTAGTCGACTAACACCCCGTAACCAAGAGAGAAGAATTACTTTTGGTACCCGTGGAAAAAAATCATCTATTTATATTAAGTTACTATAACTTTTTTATTTATACTCCGATTATTACAAAAAATATATCAAAAATTATAACTTTTAATTATCTTTCATATAGCACCAATATTGCATATATAAAAATAAAAAATAATTAAGCAATTTCAAAAAAAATTGTTTTTAAAGTATTGTAACTTTTTTATTTTTACTTCGATTGTTACAAAAAATATATTAAAATTGATAATTTTGTTTTATCTTTCATATAACAGTATAACATATTGCATATATAAAAATGAAAAACTAATTTGGCGCATGAAAAACCTTTTGTCTTTCAAAATGATCCTTTTTATTTGTACTATGATTCTCACAAAAAATATCAAAACTTATGATTGTTTAGTAACTTTCGTATGACACCAATATTGCATATATATATAAATAAAAAAAGTTAAGGATGTGGCTAATAGAGGTTTTTGGCTCAAAGAATTAAATTTTGAAAAAGAATTTGTTACTTTATATTCAATTTTTTATATTTTTCACTACAAGAAATTCGTAATTTAGTGGCGAAATTTAGTGACGAAATTTGAATATGTCATTAATCGGTGGCGGAAGTCGTGGCAGAATCCTATCCGTTACAAATTAATGTCGGATTGTGTCTGTCACTGATTAGTGACGGATTTTAGTGATGGATTTAACCCGCCATTGTTTAGTGGCGGTTTTTTGTGACGGATTAGTTGTCATTAATTGCCAGCGGCATTTTCCGCCACAAAAATATGTCACTGAATAGAAAAATGCATATTATTTATATCTCATGCTTTTTTCAACAATTAATCACTTAATCTAAATTTAAATATATGTGTGTATATATGCATATATATTGGGATGTTTTTACTTGGGTCGTTTTTAGTCCCAAACCAGACCAGATCAAGCCAGAGCATCAAATTTCTGTCCAAGTAAAAACATTCTTAAAGATGAATCATATGAATATATATATAATGATATACATATAATACGACAATAACATATTGTTGAAGTTAAGTCATCGCGGTCCAAAAAATCAACACGCTCCCTTGGACTTTCTATCTAATATTTATGCTTTTGATTTACTTAGTGGGTGATTAATTATTATTGAAGACAAAAGCAATGAAAAAAGGAAGAACGTAAAGCGCACCAAGTTCTACTAATGGATTTAGAACAATTCTAAGCTGAGAGTTACAGAAGAATCTAGAGAGAGAAGCTAAGCTATTGAATGCAAACTTGTTAATTCTCTACAATGAAATAAATGCTAGTATTTATATACAAGTTGATTGTATTGACGGCCTGCATCCTGAGATTTCGCCATGGTTACTAGACTTTTCATCTTTGTGCGACTCGTCTCGCATCAGATGGATGGTAGATTATGATATAGACCCTATCTAGTGTGATATGTGGTAGATTATCGGCCGGGTGGAGTACCCAAGGATCGGGCGTGTATCCTCAAAACTCGGTTATGTGGGTGGAGTAACCAGGGATCGGGAGTGTGTCCTCAAAACTCATAGATTACTGTTTAGTAATTCAAGACAGGGCGGTGTCCTTATGATTATTGCTTTGGGCCAGGAGGAGTCCGTTACACTCATAGGTATATGGGTGGGTTGAGATTTAAGTCAAAGACATTGACTACTACTATTTCCCAGCTAAACAATGACCTACGGGTCGGTTATTTTAAAGTGCATATATATCGATATGTATTTCATAACTTGGCGAAAAGGACTATATTTGTATGTATCAACCTATGTTTGGGTCTTATACTTGAAACGCTGGTTATGCTACATTCAACCTACTGCTCGCTCAGTATTCACGTACTGACCCCTTGGGGGGCACACCATTTCAGGTTGAAGCTAAAACTTGCTATCTACACCTTTCTCGGTGGAGTGATCCAAAGGAATACGCGGTCCATGCTTCCTTTAGTGTTTTAAATTACAAACTATGCTCATGGATATTTAAGTAATGAATACATTCATTTGGGCCTGCGGGTCCACGTTTTGGCCATGTGTGGTCCATGATTGATTATTGAATATTCCGCTATTTTATAATGCACAAATTAAAAAATTTAAGTTACCAGGTTGATTGAAAAAAGAAATCAAACAAACTCAAGCATTAAATAATATTTTCTATTGAACATTTTCATAATAATTGAATAAAAACTTGTTAATTAAAAAAAAAGAACAACAACAGGTAAAAAATTATAATTAAACATTAAGTCTTAATTTGTGAAACTTTCATTAGAACTATCAAAAAGAGTTTAAAAAAACTAGTGCGCACTAATGCTCCGTATAAAGTTTCAAACCAAACTTTTCACTCCCTCCCCTTTCCTTCAAAAATTTCGAGCAAAAATTTCGCTCCCTCCATTTTATCCCTCTTTTCCGAATTCCCTCCACTCCAGCCAAATAAACCCACTCACAAACACTTCCCATCTCACAAACTCTAACCATGCCCAATCAATTCGAAAAAACCCTAGCTATCTCCATCTTCATATCGGTAAGAAAGGCGGAAGCGCCAAACCAGATCTACAGAACCCTAGCTTAGCTCTTCAAGCTCCGCCCTAGCGCAGCTCGCTTCCTTCCTCAATGTCCGGTACAGGTGTGTGTGTGTCGCTGTTGATTTTTTTGCAAATAGCGTTGTTCGTATCACTTCAATCGCAGTGATTCCGAATTTCTCATCCGGCAATTCATCTATTTGTAATCTAAACTTATTTGTTGTAACATTTTGCCGTTACTGTTTTCTTCACTTTCATTGTTTCGATTCCGTATCTTTCTGGTTTCCATTATAATGAATTCTTTCAATTTTTAAATACAAACACATAGTTTTATCTATAAATCCAAATATATGTAGCTAGGCAAATTTCTGGAATTTTTAGCGGCACCCCCCTTTTCTGAAAATTCAGAGAACTCAAACACTAGTCAAATGAAAATCTCTCCTTTCCCAGAAAATCATATGATATTCAGCTTCATGAAAGAGTTATGTTTTTATGTTCTTCTAAATATCAGAGTCTTTGGATTCAAAATCAACCAATGGATGGTGATTTTTGGAAACTTTTCACCAAAAAGAACCGGGACTCACCTATAGTTTCACTGGTGTTTACACATAAAAGTTTTGATGGATCTGCTAGGATCTATAGCATTATCAATTGCTTTATTGAAATCCAACTTTAACACTAGCCTAGTCTTTCTTAATTAACTATGACATTCAATGCTTTATTGAAATCCAACTTTAACACTAGCCTAGACTCTCTTCATTTCAGGTTGTCTTCAAAGATCAAGTAATCTCAGGTTGAATGGTTGTTTGCTATTAAAAAGATATTGTTCACTTGCTTTGAGTTTTGAATGTAGTGATAGTGTTGTGAATTTCAGCTTTTTCCCTATTTTAAATATAAAATTCTGATTGAATTTTAAGATGAATTGTTTCATTAAATAGGTTGTTGTAATCTTCATGTCATTAATCCTACTTGCTTGGTTCATTGGTGATATTTTGAATTACAGGGATGAGATCATTTTGGCTGATTTTTAATATATCCTTTTTTGTAGTACATGGATACTTTTGAAAGAAGAAATAAAAGGTGGTTCCATTTGAAGAACTCGGGGCTGCCAGGCTCAAGAACAAACTAGAGATGGTGATGTTTATTTTTCATTGTTTTTCATTGCAAAAATTGGAAATAATGTTTGATTTTTTTGGTGGGGAGGCAAACTGGGAAAAAATACTGCAAAACCTAAGCTTTTAAACTGCAAACTTGCAAACTCAAATATCAAGTACACATTTTCTGCGATATGTTGTGTAATAAGATTGCCTAATTGAGTTGTTAATATATTTGATTGTTTATTATTTTTTGCAGAATTAAGAATCCAATCTACAACTAAATTAGATTACATTTTTATCAATTGGGTTAAAGTGATTATGTATCTAGTACTTTGGATGTGTAGTGACGTGTACCCCTTGATTTTTATTTGTAGGAGGCTATTAACAGGTTAATCATGCTTTTTATGAAGCTGAAAGTGTACAAACGCAATCATCTGAAGTTGAAATTGATATATCTAATGAAACAAAAGCTGCCCTGCAATGTCCAAGTTTCTTCCCACAAACGGATTCCATCTCGGAGCTCTCAAGACTTGCATGAACATTCATTACCCATTAGACATGTAGTTTTAGCTTTCAAATGTTTTGTACACATTTTAAACAATAGTAATGTGAAGCATGTATTTTTTGGAATATTCTTATATTACACTACAATTTATTGTGGGTTTATTATAATAAACTCCACACAGGTTAATTTTATTGCTATTATTTATTTGTATGGTTAAGTGTTAAAATTTATTTTTTTATACGTTCACTTTGTAATTATTTTGATCGGATTCTTTATATTTTAAAAACTTTTGATTTTAAAGCACAAATGATGTTTAAAAACAGTCATTTATAAATATATACAAAATACTTTTTTTAAATATAAAAGATTCAGTGGTGGAATTTAGTGACTGAAACTTTGTCACAAAACATAGTGCCGGATAAACCTGCCACTAAATTACGTCTCTGATCTGTGACGGAATTAATTTTCCGCCACTAAACACAATAGTTTCCAGATTTTAGTGACGAACGATCAGCCATAGATATCCGCCAATAAGCCCTTTTGCAGCAGATTTAGTGACGGATTTTCCGCCACTAAATTCCGTGATTTCTTGTAGTGTTTGTATATAATATTGGTGTCATACAAAGTTATCAAAAATTTATGAGTTTTGATATTTTTTTGTAATAATCAGAGTACAAATAAAAAAGTTACAATATTTTAAAAGAAACGTTTTCAAAGTGCCAAATTATGTTTTCATTTTTACATGTGAAATACTGGTGCCATATGAAAGATAATATAAAATAATAAATTTTGATATATTTTTTGTAACAATCGGAGTAACAATAAAAAAGTTACAACACTTTAAAAAATGTTTTTTTGGAATTGTTAAATTATTTTTTTATTTTTCTATATGTAATATTAGTCTCATATGAAAGAATAAAAAGTTACAGAGTACAAGTTTCATACTCCCTCCATTTCACAATCTTTGACACAGTTTGACTTGTCAAAAATTAAGGAAAAATTGTTACTGAAGGGTAAATTTTACTGTAGAGTACACTGTTTGAACACTGTTTGGCACTGTTTGAACATTGTTTGACATTGATTTGCACTGTTTTGCACTATTTTGGTAAAGATGTGTTTATCAAATAAGGAAATAAGGAAGTGTGTCAATCTTTTTGAAACAACCAAGAAAGGGAAGTGTGTCAAAGAAACTGAAACGGAGGGAGTATATTTTTTATAATAATCGGAATAGAGATAAAAAATTATAGCAATCTAAAATAAACGGCTGAATTTTTTCATTGGGACCCAGAAATCAATTCAAGCCTTTTTAGCTTGCACTTCTAGTGTGTTTCTCCATTTGCATAAGCCGTCACTTGAGGTGACCGTTTTGTTAATCTTGGTCACCCGCACCACTATTTTGATTATCATTATTAACCCAACCTTAATTTCTTATTTTTTTATTTAACATTATTTTGGATAAAACTCGATAAAAACTGACTTATAATACGGAGTAGTTAAAGTAATTATTAGGGGTGGGATTTTGGAATCGGGAACCGTTAAAATGGTTGGAACCGAATCGTTATAACCCGATTCGGTTCGGTTCCTACAAATGAGGTATTAGTTGTTAACGGTTCGGTTCCTAGTTGTTAACGGTTCGGTTCCTAGTTGTTGTTAACGGTTCGGTTCCCGGTTCCTATAAAAAATATATGCACGGAATCATTAAAGAACCGATATTAAAAAAAATAGTAGCAGTATTCGTAGTAATACTAATATAACAAAAATAAACACAACAACAACAATAATAATAAATGAACGATATTTAGCCAATAATTCTAATTTAATTTAATCTATGAAAACAAAAATAATAAATATTTGGGGTTTTGACATGAATATTACTTAAGAAAAGGTAATGGACAAAAAAGAGACCTCTTTTTTAAACTTCCAAAAATGTGACTAATAAACTTCTACTTTCCTAAATTACCCTTCCCGTTTAACCGTCAATGTTATACGCGCATATCTTTGCTCCTTAACATTGGAGTCTCTTGCACAGTTGCACCACCGGCCCACTATGTACCACTTCACGTCTTTAAGCCTCTACCTTGGCCACTAACATCTAATTTTTCTTTTTCTTTTAATATTATAATACATATATCTCAAAATAAATATTTAAATATTGCACTAAAACTCTAAAAGTTCTAAAAAATTTGTCCCAATTACTAGTGCTCTAGTGACTATCGTTTCAATTACTATCGTTTCAGTGACCACCATCTCGGGTTTTACCGCTCTTGTTATTACCGCTCCAGTGACAATCGTCCTAGTTACCACTACTTAAGCGACTGTCGTCCCAGTTACCATCACTCCAATGACCATGGTCTCAGTTACCACCATCTCAGTTACTACCGCCTAAGTGTCTGACATATCAGTTACTATCGCAGTTACTCGATCAGATACACTTACATGACCCGTCAGTTACAGATAACTGACTCATCAATTACAGTTACTCAGCTTGTCAGTTACAATTGCTAAATCCATGAATTGCAATACTTTATCATTCAATTACAGTTACTCGATCCGTCAGTTACAATTACACAATTGGTCAATAACAGTTACCACTTACCTAACCCACTAATTACGCTTACCAAATTTGACTATTTATATTTAATGACAACAGCCGATCACCACCTCCGACCACCACCTCGGGCCACTGCCGGTGACCACCACCATTCCCAGCCCCTCCCCAGCCCCAACCATATTCCCTGACCCGATCCACCAACTTCCCCAGCCCCCTCACAGCCCTTCCGAGCCCCATCTCCCTCCCAAAACCACCGCACCCCCACCCACACCCTGCTCCTGCTCCTCGCACACTTGCAATGGGCCAACGACGGAGAAGAGCAGCGAAATGAACCTCTGCCTTGCCGCCCTAGCCACATCGCGCCTTACCCGGCTCTCCTTGTTCCGATTCGCGCCACTGCATCGAAGCCCTAGTCACACGGCCGTGTCTTCGCCATAGCCGCAAATCCTAGGTAGGCCGCGATCGGACAAAGGGAATAGAAGAAGAGAAGATTAAAATGAAGGTAGGGTCGGAGATGAAGGCGGAGGGGCGTGGCGTCAGCTTAGAGACGGCAGCGGCGGTGACCCCATTGCTGAAGAAGAAACGAACGATGATGGAGATGAGTAGATGTTGTGCGATTGGCCAAAAAGAAACGGAAGAGTTGATAGGATTAAGGGCATAGGGGTCCATTTATTAATAATTAGTGAGTTTTTTGTCTAATTTTAGATTTTGTCTTATTTTTGTCCAAGGAGAAGCTGAGGGTATTATTCTTGTCATTCTTTCTAAATATTTGCAAGAGGTTGAATACATTAAGCTCATTTTTAGAAATCAAGTTTTGTTCCATCAATAGGAGTAGAATGTAGTGATGCTTTTATATTTGTACATGCAAACTCAATATATTTCTAGGTTTTGAGAGGCATAAAGTGTACTCCTATCCTTGCCACTATAATGATGAGTAACCTTCATTTTAACGACATAACCAACGATATTTATATTTTATGTATTAAATGAAAATTAAAATCTTCTTTTTATTCTATTAAGTGTTCACTTAAGTCCGAGCTTTGATGTTTGGAGCGATTAGAACTCTAAATAAATGTTTATGACTTGTTGACTTTTTGTCGTTTTCATGTGGTAGAAGCTAAACTATGTGTAAATTCTTACACGAAAAAAATTATTCTAGTAACCGATGAAAGCAAGAACCGAACCGTTTAGTATTGGTTCAGTTCCATATCGGTTCTTGATTTTTTTATATAGGAACCGAACCAATTTCATTTGTTAAAATTTAAATAACGATTCCACTATTTTTGAGTAAGAACCGAACCGGTCCCAGACCTAGTAATTATGATCAATATTGCAGTTGTCTAAGAAAAAAAAAGGAGCAACTTTGCGCACCGTAAGTATTTCTTTGCGCACCTCTTTTTGAACAGTCGTGGGCAATTATACCCATGCATATATAATTTCTTTTCTATTTCAATTCGTACCCGTTATTCCTTGTGTTTACATTTTTAGCTGTAGGGTTATTACTTACTACTCCAGAACTCCGTATATATTACTCCGTATTAATAAGTAACACTTCTCTATAGTGTATTCATATTTTAATAAAAACTATAGAAATTGATAAATTAATTATTAATATCTTTATTTCAAAATCTATAGCCATTTTTAGAGTTATTTAACTCCATTATTATTGTTTATCACTTTATTGATACTATTTTACTTACTCCTTCGTATTTATTACAGTATCAATATAAAGATGCTTGTTGATGTTATTTAAAATAGTAGGTAAAATATTGGGGTAGTTTGAGTTTGCACTTCATCTTGTTGTCCAAATCATACTTTGCACCCGTTTTTAAAAAAACTTGATTAAAAGTTGATGACCTACCTTGATCCAAGATTTAAAATAGGAAAAACTAACATTGATAAAAATAACGTACTTCAAAAGCGTGTGCGTTATATACCATCCAATTTTGTTAAAAACTGTTCTTCCGGGAGTGGAAATGAAAATGTTTTCTTTTTCAAAATTATCACTAAAATAATTTTTTTTTACATAAATATGATCAATAGTTATGTTATGGTAAGTTAAGTTTAAAACTTGAACATAAGTTACTATGATTTCATTACTACTCTAATCAATAATCATATATTTTTGTAAACAATCTTTATTTTTCTCATAAATATGTAATTATTTCAAATAAAAACAACCCGAATCGATGCATATTTCTGCTTCCTGACGGTGCATGTTTATCATTAAGATAATGAACAATTAAAATTGACAGAAAAAATTAATTTAATCACAAATGTCAATACATTTATGATTTATTACATTGCACATTTTCATTTCACATAGTGTACAAAAATTATATACTCCCTCTGTCCCGCTAACAATGGGACAAGAGGGAGTGACATGCAAATTAATAAAAAGTGATTTATGTGGTTGATATTGAATTGTTAAAGTAAGTATAAAGTAAGAATAACTTAGAGCCACACAAACTTTACCAAATTTGATATGAGACAATCTTAGTGGGACGGACCGATAAGGTAAAATGAGACAATCATAGCGGGACGGAGGTAGTAGTTAATATTTTAACAAAAAAAAATAATTCTTCCTTTTCTTTCATTTTTTAATATATTCTTTTGCGAACTTTAAATTTATAATTTATTTTTGCTTTTTTTGAATTTTTTATTTATTTAAAGTCAATAAATGTAAATTTGCTTCTTTATAGGTAC